CTGCCGAACTACGCGCTTTTCGATTACGCGATTTTTTTCCGCCCGTACTACCGACGGTGGTTGATGATGGGCGGGCGGGTGGTGTCGAGTCGATGAGGGGGACTAGGCCTCGTCGACTCCCCCGCCGTTTCCCGACCCGGTTGGTCTATGTGGGCACTTATTGTGCCAATGGAGTTCCCCACAGAACTTGCACGGCCCCGGTGGCTGGTCACCAAAAGCATTAGCAAAATATTTTTTTTTTCCCGGGGGGGCTGTTTGTGGGGTGTCCGGCCCCTTTTTGGGCGTAGGCGTCCAGCGTTTTGAGGGTGGATTAGTGTTCGTCTTTACCGGGTCCAAAACGCCTGCGATGCGTCGTAACTCGCTGAACGTTAATGGTCTATGTAGACGGATGTGTGTACGAAATTCGTCCCGCGTTAACCCGGCGATTATACCTACCAATTCCGCTTCGGATAGGCCAGTATTTACGCGGCGTGCTAACTGGTTTTTAATTAGTACAAAATCCGTTAACGATTGCCCGGGGGTTTGTCGTGTTGACACTTTGTCTGCGCGCAATTGTGACTGAATTTCGGAGTTGTTGTAATTTTCAAAAAATTCCACCCTAAATTCTTCCCAGGATAGGTCGAGTATTTTAATAGATGCGTACCATTTACTCGCCGTTCCTTTTAATTGCGGCTCGACCGCCCTACACCAACCTGATGGGTGTATGCGCGCTTGCACTAGAATCGATTCGGTATTATTTATGTATCGGACGGGGTCTTCGGCCCTTGTTCCGGAGAACTCGGGTAGTGATGACCTTGCTGTACGCAAGTTGTCGTAAGGTATTAATACCGATCTTTCCTGATGCTTCGTGTCATATGCTTCGTAGCTGGTCGCGCCCTCCGCCCTACCTGTATGATCTGCGTGTGTATCGCACGCGAAGAACGTTCGGTCTCTCGCGGCGGTGACGCGGCTGGCGTCCGGTATTGTGCCGGCTTCGTCGTATGCGCGGTCGATCTACCTGACTGGTGATTATCGTGTTGACGGTAATGTACTTGTGCAGGTTCTAGATGGGGGTTGTTCCGCGGGGGCGTGTGGCTTTGCGGCTGCTGTCGGCTTGTACTGCGCATTTCTTCGAAGAATTGCGTCATACTTGCCTCCATTGCCGTCAAACGCGCCTCGAACGATTTTGTGTCGTTCGTTTGCGGCATCGTAAGTTTTAGCATTGCCAGTTGGTCCACCGCGGTTTTAAAAATATCGGAGCCTACCGCGATTGTGGGTACACCCAGGTGTACTGATGGTTGTAACGTGTTGTGTCCCGGTCCGCCCCCCGAGAACGACTGTCCTGCACTATGGCTAGCCATGTCATTCTCCGATGGGCGTCCGTTTACCCAGTCCGCTTCCGTGTCCACCAGCGTCGTGGGTGCGTCTAGCTGCTCTCCCGCACCGTCCGCCAATATGGAGTTTGACGGTTGTGTGGGATAGAACCTGACGTTCGCGGGATCCTGTCCCCGTTCCCGAATGTGTTCCTCTAGCCTGATGATTACATCTGGCTTAGAGCCGGACATACTTATTCCGCGGGCCTTACACTCGTTACGTAGTTCCACCGTCGTTAATTGTTGTAACGATTTTCCCGACATATTGTTTTTATTACGTATATAATTACAAATGCGGACGTTAAACTGTTGTATAGACGGTGGCCTGTACTTGTTATACGGGACGGATGTTCCGGGGAAAATTTGGTTGAGAACGTGAGCGTGATAGAAGAAAATTTAAAAAAAAATAAATAATTCTAGAGAAAAAAAACGTAATTTACGCGATGTTTACAACGCTATTTGATTACGCTCGCGTAAATGATAATCAGCTGTGCAGCTGATTGCGGCGTCGCCGGTACGGTCCAAATATAACTTAATTAGGTCAATGTACTCGGCGGCGGCGGTGAAACCTGTTTGTCTCGGCGGCGCACTGCGGCTGCTCAAGCAAGAACGGCGGCGCGCGGCGGCGGTTGACAACGGTGGTGTGCGGCGGCGGCTGGTGACTAGGGATGGCAACGATATATCGAAAATATCGATATTTAGAAACGATATATCGATAATTTTTCATCGATATAGTGCTACGATATTTATCGCTTATCGATAAATTCATTCGATATATCAGGGTTATCGTGAACCGGGTGAACATAGACCTTATACTGGGTATAAGCCATAAGGTCTATGATGGACGTGAATTGCATTTTGTTTCAAATTCATTGTTAGGAAACCGTTAACCAGTAACCACTCTTAAAATTTTTCGGACTAGTGCATAATATTAGTAAAGTACGAGTACCAACTTAATAAAATTAATATTATAAACATTATAACCTAAATATAGGTATAATTGTATAATTATTACTTATATTGTTATTTCATATTTGTCATCCAAAACGACCGAAACAAGTAACAACCATGATTATTATTCCAAGACACAGTCGTCAGTCACACGGCCCTAACCACGGTTTTAAAATCTTCTAGAATCTTCGAAAACCGTACGAAAATCTAACCTATTTTACAAGTAAACAAGTTTGAAGTTTCATGTTCCATCTTTGTTCTTATTACTTAATTAGTTATTTTATTACTTATAAGTTATTAAGTTAATAGTTATTTCTTTTCTTTACTCAATACTCATTACTTTTTAGTCAATAGTCCGTGACTCGTGAGACCGTGACCGTGTGACTGTGTGTCTGTGGACTGTGACCTGTGTCCGTTGTGAGTTGTGACTTGTGACCACGTGTTTTAAGTGTTTTCAAATTTTGATATTTGTTTTATTATATAAAAATACAATAAAAATATGGCCAAAATTAGTAAAGTTTGGATGCATTTTGACAAAATCAATAAGTTGACTGCGAAATGTAAAATATGTGGCAAAATATGTCCAACATCTGGAAACACGTCTAATTTACACTCTCATCTGAATAATGTCCATAAAAGTAAAACAGTAACGTCAGTAACATCAAAGTTAAAAAGTGATGTTTTGGAAAAATGCTTCGATGAAAATAATGTTGATGATCCTGGTTGTGTGAGTATACCTTAATTAAGAATAATAATTAATAAATAATAATGTTATAATTATATTTTATGCTTAGAAGCATGTTAATTATTTAAATAATTCTGTTTTTTTAAGATTTCAAGTACAGCATCAACTTTAGTTTTTGATGAAAATGAAACCATTTCTGTAGCTAGTGGTAGTAAAAAAACTTGTACCAATGATTTTCCTACAAAAATAACTCAACCATCAATTGAAAAGGCAATGGACTATGTGACATCCATGAAAGGTAACTTATTTGAAATATATAAATGAATCTTTAATTCCAATACAATAATTCATTGTTCATAAATATATTAATAAATTTAGGAACCAGATTGTGTTTTTTAAATTAGATTACTTAATATACAGTTATGTAAACAATGATGAGTTTATTTGCTTAACTTTTTTAAATTATTATTTTTTAGTAAGACAGAATTTAAAGTTTTCAAATTTTTGTTTCAATGAAGTTATTTATTTTGTGTTTATCCTTTTACAGTAGGCGGTATAAAAAATGCTGAAATAACTGAGGCACTGATATATTATATATGTAAAGACAGTGTACCTTTTTCAACAGTCGACGGCACTGGTTTTAATTACTTTTTAAAAGTGGCATGTCCACTTTATGCTATTCCTTCCAGAAACACAATAAAAAATAAATTAGATGAAAAATACAAGTATTTATCTAACAAGTTTAAACATAGACTCCAAAAACAAAAAAATTTTAGTCTAACTTCGGATATTTGGAGTGATATTCAAATGAAGAGTTATCTCGGTGTTACCATACACTTTTTAGAAAACAATACATTTATATCTGGTAATATTGAAAATCATTTTAAAGACTCATTTAAAATAATGGTTATTATTAAATGTTAAATATTATTTATTGTAATTTAGGAACATTAGTTGTGTACGAACTCAACATGTCTCATACATCTGAGTACATAAGTCAGATATTTGAAGAAGTATTATTTGAATGGGGATTAAATAAATCACAAATAATTACAATTGTCACTGATAGTGGTAAATAATAATACTTAACTTTTTATTTATTCTACTATATTTTTTTTTAATGCATGTTTATAGGTGCAAATATAAAAAAAGCAGCAAAAAACACATTCGGTATACGTAAATTTATCCCATGTTTTGCTCATACCATTAATTTAATTGCAAACTATTCAATTGATAACTGTGAGGGTTTAAATTTGTTGGTTGAAAAAGTAAGAAATATCGTCAAATATGTAAAAAACAGTGTAAATGTCAGCGATGAATTAAGGCAATACCAAGCAAATGATGGTTTGTACCTACTACTTTATTAGAAATAGAACCAGTACTTATGATTATAAGTTGATTAACATATTACATGTATATTATTAAATTTAGGAATACCCGAAGGAAATATGCTTAAAATGATCTTGGATGTTAAAACACGTTGGAACAGCTTATACTACATGGTGGACAGATTTTTAAATTTATTTAAAATTATTTCTAATATTTTGTTGGAGAAACAAAAAGCACCAGATTGTCTAACTACCAGAGAGGTAAACACACTAAAAGAAGTTAGAGTTCTATTGCAACCTTTAGAGGATTTAACTAAAAAAATCTCCGGTGATAAATATCCAACTATAAGTTGTATGCTACCATTAATAAAATGTGTTAACTCTGCCATCAATCAAATGACACCTAATACAGCAGTGGGAGTATCTCTACGTTCAAATATCATCGGTCAATTTCATAAACATTTTAATGAACTTGAGCTGTTTAATGATGTTCCAATCAGCACTATATTGGACCCCAGGTAACAATAATTGTGTCAATAAGCAAACATTTACAATGTATACTTAATGTTTTTTTTTTTTTTGCTTCAGATTTAAGAATCTTCACTTCGAAGACCCTGTAAATTGCCAAAAAGCTATTGGAAAAATAAAAAGACTGTTAATTGTTGTACAAAATGAACATTCTGTTGAAATTGAACCAACTACAAGTTCTGAAATGACTCCACTAAACAAACAATCATTTGACTTATGGTCTTATCATAAAACTGTTGCATCTTTGCAAATCCAAAACAGTTGATCAAGAGGTAAAGCTATACCAATGCTATAATTTTTCAGAATTTTAATTTTGACTTTATTTTTTGAATTAATAGTTAAATGATTATTTAACCAAGCCAGTGGTACCAGTGAATATAAATCCACTTGAAGCTTGGGATGTTATCAAATCGATGCATCCCAATTTATTTGAAATTGCAAGGGAAAAATTATCAATTATAGCTACATCGGTGCCATCGGAACGACTTTTTTCTAAAACTGGCCAAATTCTTAGTAAAAAGAGAAATAGACTGACAGGTAAAAGACTAAACAAGTTAGTTTTTATGAGTTCCTTAAATCAAGAAGATTGGTTTACTGTCACATAAATTACTATACATAATAATATGTTCATATAAACTTAAATTGTTATTATTTGTTATTATAACTAAATGTTATTAATTAAAAAGTTGTATCATATTTTTTTTTTAATTCACAAATTTTAAATGATATTGTTTTATTGTTATAGTGATAAGTGATAACTAACTTAGATTCTCAGTTAATGTTTAAAAGATATTTCTACCAAAATATTTGTTTTTATTTGCTTGTTAGTTGTTAGGTGTTTTTCAATAAGTTGAAATATTAAATCAATTCCTAAAAATAATATTTGTCTTTACAATTATGGTTTATTTATGTTTTAGCTATGTCTGTGTTTCAGGTTGCGGACTTGCGGTCACATTTCAATAAGCATAAGTTAATTACTGGTACAGTAATCTACTTCTTATATAGGACGAATCAATACTATTGAGTATTGAGTAATGAAATATTTTTAATAATAAAATGAAAGTAAATTATAACAATTTTATTAAATTATCAGCATACCTAAAATTCTATCATCATACTTAAAACTGGTTTTCTTTACAACTGTACTCTGTACTCTGCAGTGTATTATATTATTGTATTTACATTATTTTTTTTTTTATATTATACATTTACTACTTTTACAATAGTAGGTACTGATTACTTGCACAAGAACAAACCAAGGAATATTTTATTGAAAAATAAATTATAATCAATTAAAAAAAATTCTTTTTGATTTTATAAATGGAGTTATACATTTCATATGAAATATGTAACATTGTAAATTTGTAACAGCAATATTCTCATACTATAAATTTTGATATGTCACATAATATTAGCACAGAAGAGTGAAGACTGAAGAGCATAGAAAAGTAATTAGGTAAAAATAAATTATAAGGTAGATATATTTTTTATCGATAATATCGGAAATATCGATACTATTATCACGATATATATCGACATCGATATCATTCGACGATATATCAGTTATTCGATATATCGTTGTTTAGACGATATTTGCCATCCCTACTGGTGACAGCGGCGCGCGGCGACGGCTTACGACAACGACAGCGATACCGGTTTGAATATTCTTACCCGTACGCTGCGTTGTTATCTGCGGTAATGTCGCGGGTCGAAATGTATATGTTGCGGAGGGGTGGTGGTTGTTATATAACTACTTCCCAATCCGTATCACGGTTATGCACGGCTGCGCGGGATTCCCTGTTAGGTACTAGAAATAATTCTTACGTAACGTTCACTGGGTACCTAGCTAACCGGGCTAACACACTCCTGGCTAAATATCTTAATACTAATGTAATAAAGCAAATATACCGAGGTATGTGTCAGCGTGAAAACTCTTACCTTTTCGCTGTCTTGAGGTGATGATTCCTCTTCGGGGAGCCAAGTTGACGCGGCTACGGCGGTGATGGTGATCGCGGTGAGCCGGTCGGTGATCTTGAGAGTCACGGAAGGGTTGGGTGGCACTCGACGTAAAAAGAAAGATACACTGGTTGTGGTTCGTATGACCGATATGTCTGTATTTGTTACACAAGAAATGTAAGACAAGAAAGGAAACAATGGCGTCCTGGCTGGATGATGGTCCGGGTAACGCGATCGGTGTCCGTTTTCGTGCTGATGTAGGTGGTTCGACGATCGGCGTAAGAGAGACCGAGTGACCGACGGCCGGTACTTGTCCAGGGCGACCTGTCTTCCCGTCCCACCTAGCCTTTGTGGCGTGGAGGGAGAGTCGACCATAGAAAAGATATTAAATAGAAAGCGCACTCTGTTAAGGAACATTGAGTCAGTCTGCGACTTGTGCACTCCCGGTGGTTATCGTAAAAACTAAAATATCGATAGTTGATTTTATTCGATTATCGTTGGATTTAATCGATAGCTGATGATAAGATTATTTTGAATAGTTTTTACTTATTCATTTTTTTTTGGTAGGATCACCAATTAGCAATTTTAATGTTTTAATAATTAAATACTAATGAGATAAGACATTTACACTTTGATAACTTGAAATATATTTTATACAAATATTAAAAATATTAAAATATACATACATTATTATTCATATTAATTTTTTATATAACAAAATAAAACAATATGTACCTAATTAATAAGTTACTTAACTAGTATTAAATAGGTATAGTTTAAACGAATAATTACATAACAAATTTATAAAAGGCATACATTACAATATAAACATGAAAATAAAGTAATAACACAACAAAATGTAAGTAACTATACTAAGAGGCTCCTAATTTAATGGAACAAATTTTTTTTGTTCTTAATTTATATGTTTTATGATATTTTAAAGCAGCTATCTTAATTTTATTAGAAGTATTTTTTGAGTTTTTTTCACCTTTATTCAAAATTGAGTTAATATTTGTGATGAATGAAAAAATTAGTAATCTAATAGATGTGTTTAAAAAGATATATTGCAAGTCATGTTTAGGACAGGATAATAATTCTAAATCAATATAATTTTTCATAATATAAATCATTTTTTTTTTTAGATTTGGTTTTTCTATAAAATCTGAAATAAATGTATTGAACAAATCTATAACTAGACTATATAAATTAGAAGCTTCAGTTGTTGGATAAATTAAATTACATTTTTCATATTCACGGATTTTAATAAAGTTATGCTCATTTGAAAATATATTGGACGTTAATATAGTTTTACACATTTTACAATTATTGACAAGTGGTTTAATTTTTTTTACTATCCAACCTGTGACAAATGATCTGGTATTATTTAAAATAAACGAAGATGGTAAATTTTGAGTTTGGGGATTTGTAAAATTTAAATTTTGTGATAGTTTTGAGATATGTTCCTCTTCTTCTTCAACAGTCTCATCTAATAATAACAAATCTTTTAAGCTGCTTAAAACTCCGTCACAATTATCTTCTTCACAATTTGCTCCCACTGAATTTTTTGTGGTTAAGTTTGAAATTAAAAGAGATTTGAAAGAGGATATAAAACCTGCACAAGTTGGGTTTATATTTCTAATGCCATGACTTCTAATAGAACAAAAAAAATTTTCGATAGGGTCCTGATTAAAATTTCTAAGTAAAATAAAATCAAATCCATCATCTATCAATTTCTTACAGAGATATTTAAAGCCCTTTATTGTTTGTATCCAATTTTTTATTGATACTACTTTATTTTGCTTGCACACAAACTCCATACTTTGCAGTACACAAATAGCTTCATCCCAAAATGTCCAATGACCAGAGGACCTAGTAACAGCACATCTCAAATCCTTACCAATTGGTGGAGATATTGTACCACCATTCACGCTGTCAAACAGCTTGTCCACAAAAAGACATAATACTGCAGTATCTACAGCAGATGAGTCAAGTTGACATTTCGTAGAACCTCCTGTAACATTGAAACAGAAATAATAAGAATAATTTAATGTTTACATTTTTTTTTTAGTCATTTTTAATCTTACCTGGCCATGAAGCCAAAACTTTCATAATTGAGCCGACCCGCTGGCTGAATACTTGAGCAGCATGCGAAACCTTCATCTTTTTCATTTTGTCTTCATAAATATGGGAATCAGATAATTTTGGATTCATACGATCACCAATAACTGATTCACTTTTGTCCAATTCATAAAACTGAGTTATGTGTGACCATTTTCCTACTCGTTGGACTTTGTCTTTACAAATAAACTTTAAGTTTTTGGTCAGAAGATTGTTACGAAGACATTTTAACATGTGTGGTGGATCGAATAACGGTATAATTTCCTGATTATTAATCTCAAATCCAAATAGACGATTTTCCTGACCAAGTCTTAAATATTTAGCATTGGTTTCTGCTCTAAGCTTATTTATTGCAGCTACATTTGTACTTGCTTGATCACAAACCAATGCAACTACTTTAAGACCAGTAGATTGAACTGCTTCAACTACTTCTTTGATGGAAACTACAAGTTCAGGAGTTTTTATGGTACTGTTTGTAAACATAAATGCCACAGGTTGTTTAAACTTTTTACGAACGCCCCTTACCATGAATGTCATAGCTTTATCGGCAAAAATTGGCTTTATTCTTTTACATCCAAGGTCTTCAAAGCCTAACACTGTATCTTGGTGAGGTATATATTGCAAACCGGGAGATAGTGATATCTCATCAAATAAAATAGTGCAGTATTTATCTAATGGATTTTTTATTTTACCAACAGTTATTTTGAGGTGATCAAATATTTTTTTGTTTATTCCCGTGTGAAATGGAATTTTTTGTAGTAAATTCATTAATGACTTTTTTGATGGTAAGGCAAATACTTTTTGAAGCAATCTATAAGCTTTGCCACTTTGTTTGAACACCGATAGAGCAAATACTTTGTCATCAAATGTAAATCTTCTCCCTCGTGCTTTTTTGGATTGAGTGCGTATTTGTGACTCAATGAAAGTAGTAGTGATTTTATTTAATTTTTGTAAAGATTGTTGATGGTTATTCATATATGTTTCAGCCAATAGCAAACGTGTTTTAAGTTTAGTGTCACGATACTTAAGTGTGGCATTTACTTTCTTTGCTTCCTTAAGAGCATGATATATAAATGCTTTTTTTGGAGTTAAATCTATTTTGCGCCTTATATTTATATTCCTTAAAACCCCTTTTGACTTTTTTCTTTCTATAAAAAAATAATTACAAATATTAGGTATATATTATTTGAAATTAAAATCATTTGTAGAATTTTATTTGTTATAACATACCTTTGTAATTCAAAGTTGTAGGAGTGAAGTTTGAAGGTATTTCGTTTGAATCTGATAAGCAACTTACACCACAGATTTCAGTTGAATCTAGAAAAATATAGACATTTGATTTTAAATTGTAAGGTTACCTATTTTCTTGAGAAAAAATGTTAACATGTTAGAGCAACTATCTATTTATACATAAAAACATTATTAATAATTAATTAATCTTTATTTTTTACTTGTCATATCAGTTATACAGATCACAGGTATATTTCTGGAGTTCGAAGTGTTTGATTCCTGCTCAGCTTGATCTTTAATAACAAATTATATGAATAATTATAACATTTTAATTTTATAATGTAAATGTAATAGTAATAAATGTCAGTAACTTTAAAATAAAAACGTACCTGTTAAACAAGTTGGATGTGTTAAAATATTTTTATTATCTAACAGAATATTTCCACTGGTTTCATTTTTTCTGGGAACACTGTAAACTAAAATATAAAAACAAAGATATTAATTTAAATAAAATATTATGTTTAATATAGTATAACAAATTGTACAACATTGAATTAAATTGAACAATAAACTTAAACATATGAAACATAAAAAGCTGTAATGATCACAATTCCTACCTTCACTAAATTTACACATGGACATACAACATTGACTGAAATAAGTATCCAAATAGATGTAATTTTATAGATCCCAAATATACAACATATAAAGCACTCATTTTGTAGTACAACATGAAACACAAAGATTAATAAAAATACATAGGTATAGTGTATAATATACCTATACAATATATTATATAATATAAGTTATTAAACATTTAGTTATAAACAAATGTTTTGACACATTCAGGTGTGCACACATGTATATTTTAAATATATGTTAATAACTAGGTTGTTAGTGTTAAAAACTATTTTTTAAGTAAATTGTTAGTCAAGTACACCTCAAAAACCTGCTTTATTTTACTTAAGCAACTACTATACTTATACATGCACTTATGACACATCAACATTTCACAAAACATTAATTTATGATACAAACCATTTGGTAAATTTGGTAACATTAATGTTGGTATAGCGTTGCGATTTAACTTTTTTGTTCCGGGACTTTTACAATTATTTTCAAAATGTTTTGCACATACAACAAATGAACGGTAAACTTCATCAATGCTGAGATTGTTTAATTTAGGATTCCCTGAGCACTGAATCCAAATTTTAAAACGTGTTTCATCCCTGGGAAACAAATGTCGGATTGTTGTTTTATCCTTATACGTTGTATCACAATTCAAAATAACACAGTTTTTTGAAGGCATCTAAAAAAACCAACCACATGTTAATATATTAATAAATTATGCAACATATTAAGAAATTGCTTAAACAAAATTAACCTATAATTTTTAGTTTGTGAATGGCTGGTACTTACTTGAGTTAACTACTCGAAGACTATAAATAAGGCACACTTGTAGTAGGTACTTGACTTCCTAGTTCCTTCACACTTTATAGCAATAAACAATTCTAAATATATATAATAGTAATTAGTAGGTAAATACTAATACGAATACGAAAAAACCGAATAAACAAATAATAGTAATTTAATATTCAAACATTCAATCATAGACAACAATTATTAAAGTTATAACAAATAACAAAATAATGTTTAATAATTTAATGAGTTTAATGTAATATTATTATTTATTAATTATTATCTTTTCTATGAATAAAAATAACAGTTTTATATTTCGTATGTTTACCAACTTTTAAAATGTTATTAGGTTGTCGTTCTGAATGCGTAATCAAGCTATCACCGCTATTCCGTATTAAGTTACCCACCCCTGGAGTCGACGGTGTCGCGCTGTCGTTCCCCGTGGTGGTGGTTGACAAAGTGTAGACTGGGCTGTAACGGTGCCTGTACTTTGTACTGGTCGCCGTTGCGTACCGTGTCATACTTTTTTAACAAACGCTCCAATTATTGTAGTTGACACTTCAAAACAGAACGATTCAGCCACAGCCTCAGCAGTAGATGTTCAATTAGAAATTGAATCATCAGAATCGCTTTCAGGTGTATCTGCTTATTGTTTATTAATTCATGATCGAATTGTTGAATATGTACCTTTTACTAGAGAAGTAAGAAAACTAGTGTAAATAATAATTTAAAATTGTAAACATTTAATATTTGATGTAAAATACTATTAATTGATTAAAAAATAAACAAAATTGAAAGAAAAAAAAA